GCCCTCCTAAATAAAGGCAAATATTTCTGCCATGCCAAGAAAGGAGAGGGAAAGGGAGGCTTGCCAGAGCTGGTGGGGAGATAACAGTGGGAACTGCTGGTCCATCTGGTTTTCATTCTGCTAACACTCACATTGAACTGTTAAGGAAGGCAGTCCAGGTACACAGATTTGAAGCATGTGGGAGCGCAGACACAGGCACAGAGGAGATGGAGGTGGGTGGAAGAAGGAGTGAGAGAAATCGAACTCCTCTAACAGTCTGCTGCTTGCAGCGAGCAGGCACAGCCTGTATCCTCCAATTCAGCTGGTGATAACTAAAAGTGATCCCGAGCCTGTAACCAACCGCACGGCTCCTGCTCCCCCCACCTCCTTTGCCACATTTCAAAAGTTCAGGTTTGCTCAGAAATGCATCCAGATTGGAGGGGGGAGGCTTTCCCAAAAAGCTGGCAATGTTTTCTTACTTAAATTGAACAGGGGAGTGGGAAACAGTGTGTTGCTTTTGCCCTCCAATTTCAGATTGCCATTCTACTGTGATCCAACTGGTTTTTACCCCCTCAAACAGTGTCTGACACCTGGTTTGTGCATCGTCGGAAATATTCACAGACTCCTGTATTTCTTATATAAATCTAACGCCATCAAGCTTGACTTTCCTAATTACCTTTCTTTGGACCTCTTAGGGGTAAAAAAAAAAAAAAAAAAAAAACACAAAACAAACAAACAAACAAAAACAAAAAAAAAAAACCCACACAAACAAAAAAACACCTCTATAGGCCGCTTACTTTTGCTTAACCTCCCTCCTCCTTGCAAGGCCCTAAACCCCACTCTGCTACTGTCCCATGGCAGGCAGACAGACTTATCTCTGGTTGTCTTTAAGTCCCCTAGCCCTGCCTTCTGTAAGGAGATATAAGGCTCCTTTCAAGCACACCTCAAAACACTTCTAACCAGGGTACAAGATTATCTTGTCAGAGCAGAGACCCTCCCAGAGGGAGGCTTTTGAAAAGTACAATGCAAAATGCAAAAGCACTTCCACATGCTTGGAAGACACCACCACCAACGCACCACCCAGGAGGACAATCTGCTCCACTGCAGCCTTTATATCCCACCTTTCCACCCTCTTTAATAGCAAAACTCCTGCAGGGTCATTCTGATCTCACTTGCCTCCACACCTGGTTCCTTAATCTCCAAGGCACCTACAGGGCTGGGAGCACCTGCCTACAGCTGCTCTGAACCCACCACTGTCCCACCACCCACAACCTCAGAGAACCTTAGCAGCTCTGTTTTTGAGAGGAAGATCTCTCAAGGGATGGGATGGTGATGGAGCACAGAGCAGAGCTGCTGGTGATAAAGGCGTTACTTAGCCTAGAACTCCAGCTTCTACAAACTAAGATTTTTTAAATTTAAAACCAAACAAACACAACACTTTTTACTCTAATTGCTAAGAAATATCCTGAAAATATGACAGCTAAAGGCAAAACGGTATTTACATCGGATTCACGAGCCAAGTTTCCCCTAAACTATGTTACTCCATAAGGACTTTAATGTATAGACATTTTTCATACAAACTCTCTGTGGATATTCTGCTATCCGTACATTCAGAGGTGATGAGGGTTTGGGAGGGGAAGAAAGAATCCTTCAAGAGGAAAAATTGTATTTTCTACACATGAAATCTTACCTGTGTTAAGATTTCATGTACATTTGCTCTGTTCTTTTTTTAATACAGGAGCATATACATTGAACTTTGTCTGAAATTTGGAGGAACATTAAGGAAAATCACATATTAAAATTGCTTAATTTCTTGAATTCAAAAACGTTTTTTTATGCTTTCGTGCCAAACCAAACTCCCCATTTGCAAAGCTAGTTCTGATTTGCTTTTTTTTTTTTTTTCTATTGGGATTCTGACATTTCAAATCATAACCCAGAATCACTAGGGCCACACCACAAAGTTTCATACAGGCAGTATCCCACAGCATCACATGTTTCAGACACAGGCTGTGTAACACAGAGAGTAACTTCTTCCAGGTGCAAAGATTTCTTCCACCAAATCCCTCTAAACAATGACAGACTTGCACTCCTTAGACCAGTTCGGATCAAATGGGGCTGAAACCAGAGGTCCTCCAAACCGGAGGGAAAAGAAGACATCTGCAGTTCATTCTGCAGTGTTCGCTGCAATCAATTCAGGATGGAGATAGCTGGTGAAATAATGGTCTAGTCCTAATCCATACACACAACCCTCTGCTGCAGTGAGAGTCTTAGAATAAATTCGGAAAGTATGTTTCAAGTATGCAGAGACCTATTGCATTTGCTTTGGATTATGTTTGTTGTTTAAAAAAAAAAAAAATTAAAAATCCCAAACATTTTTAATATACATTCTTGAATCTCTTTTACAGCACAGAGTGAAGAACTGCAACTTTACCACAGAAGTATTTTGCTCCGTTTTAAATTAAAGAATGTTGTAAAACCAACTTTAAATTATGCTATTTCTTCTGTGGATTTCTTGGTTCATGAAACTATACCATTCTTGTCATTCATTCAGTTTTTATAGTAGGAGTTATTTTTATCACTATATTTAGTGTTAGGTGAACACTGATATTTACCATAAGCACAGCCAGCTTCTGGAGACAAATAGGGAAAAGGCAAAGTAAAACGTGCAGAGGCAGGGGCAAAGAGATGTGCATCTATTCAAACTGATTTACTTTACTTCCTGTATCTTAAATGATTCAGTCCATTTTTAAAACAAGGCGGTCTTTCATATGTGGCAACATTTCAGCTCACGTGGCACCCTTCCAAGTCTAACGCATCAAGGAAAGCTGATGCACGGAACAAAATATGGAATATATAAATACTTTACTGATACCATTTCAATAGCCAATTCAATGTCAAGCATTTGTAGGACTGGTGTGTTTTCAATTTCCTTTTTTAAATGAAAAAAAGTATGGTATAATACG